AAGGACCTTAAAGCTCATCCAGTGCCAGTCCCAGCCGTGGGCACACACCTACCACTGGCCCAGCTTGCTCCGAGCCCTGTCCAACCTGGCCTGGAACACTTCGGGTGTTCATAAAGGCTCGTGTGATAGCAAAATATCGTAGCAAATATCATCACCCCATAGCAAAATATTTCTGTGAATGCTTTTTATTCCACCCTAAATCATCTGCCCCCATGACGTTTATTTGCTGTCTATTCAGTTTCAAAACCTAAACTGCTTCATTTTCTGAGCAGGAGGTTTTACGAAGTTTATGGCAGTGGTCCAAGACCTTTTGAATTGTCACAGTTAGACTTCAAATCTACCTGCCAGAGGTAAGATTGTAATTAAACTAGAAATAGATCTGAGACTTGTCCCTTTCTCCCCTTCAGTCAGTGAACCACAACATTATTTCTGAGAGTTAAAATACAACCTTGCAATCCAGGTTTGTGGAGAAATACAATGAACTGAAGGAAGAAGGGAAAATTGAAGAGGATAAATTGTTTGAAGAAACAGGAAAAGCCCTTCTGGCCAGTGGGATCATTTTACAGAGAAGAGGAAAAGATAAAGTGAGTATTAAATGTTCACAGTGTTACTTGGCTGGTGGATTGAGAACTCCACTCCCAGGGCCTTAATGTTGAGTTGGACTGAGTTAAATTCTCAGCTGAGCAGTTACATATCTGGTACTTGTCACAAAGTGTCTTTGCTGTGCAGAGAAAACTTTCCCCTTGGCCATGAACTTGGCTGGCCAAGGTTAGGGGACACATGGGACAGACAGGAGCTTTTGCTGGTGATGCAAGACTGAACACTTTCAAGTGGTGTGTCTGTATTTGGAAATATGTTTGTGTTGCTCTAAATTGAGTTTTTCCATCTTTTAGCCCAAGGGCAGCAGCCTCTCTCTAAAATTCCTGCCCTGGTGACACCTTGACACTGTTGTAATTTTGCGATCATCTCAGCACGAATGGAACTTTTCTGTCAGCTGTTTTGGACACCCAAAGGGCTGTTGCTCTCCTCAGTCACCCTTCAGAGGTGTTTTACACCCTGTTTGATGTGATTTTTCTGTCTTTCCCTGCAGGTAGCACAGCGGGAGCATCCAAGTCCTGGAACCAAGGATCCTGCCTTACACCTGCAGCTGCAGACTGTGCTGGAGGAGCTGCAGGAGAAGAAGAAGGATGGGGCAGAGCAGACACCAGAGCTGACAGGGTCACAGAAGGAGAATCCCTCTCCCTCCTAACAGCTGTGCTGTCCTGGGACACTGCTGCACTTGTGCCTGACTGTGGTTGTCACCTGCCAGGAGGCAGCACCCACACCTGGCAGTTTTGGGACATTTCCTGAGGGGAACACACCTCAGTATCCAGCTCTGGTGCCCTCCAAGGTTGTGTGTGTGACACACATTCTCCTCCATCTCTGTCCCCATTGATAAACTTGCAGATAATGTTTTTTGTAAGGTTCAAGATTGTTATCTCAAATCATGAGCTGGAAAATATGAGTGTAACAGTGGAAAATTAAACATTTTCTTTAAAAATTGGAAGTTCTGCCTCTTCAGGTGTCTTATTTGCTGTGGTAAGGATGTTTCCTGCCGTTGGAAATGGCAGATCCTGTTTGATACATCCCAGCAGCTGCCTGAAGTGTCATCCTTTTATAGCTGATTGAGGAAAGTTGCTATTTATAGAAACTGAAGAATATGCTCTTCCCATTCCATCATTTGCTTCAATTCAGAGTGGAACAGTGTGGCAATAGCAGATAATTGGGACCTTTGTGGGTTTTTAGTGACTCCTAATGGAACTGGTCACCTCAGAAGTGTGAAAATGGGATGTTCCAGCTGTGGGAAAGGTGATGCTGCTGCAGCAACAGTCACAGGAAATCTGGCATGGCACAACATAAGGAAATAACAACCAATCTTCCTGGGATTTGGAGCCCATTAGAACACAGTTCTTCCCATGACTGTAAACTCCAGTGCCTGTCTCATCTTTCATTAGGCATTTTGGATTTGGGCTGTATGAAAAACAATTACTGTTTGTGTCTTTATTTTTGTTTGTTTTTTTTTTTAATTTATTATTTTTTTTGTTTATTTTTCTCTTTGGCTTGTGGTTTTTTTCCTTTTATTTGTGTTTTGTTTCTCTTTTTTTTGTTATTGTCTTCTTTAAAAGACCAAACTGCCACCACCAACAGGTGTGAATCATGTCAGATTTCTTCTCCCCTTGCCTGGCTGTGCCCTACAATGGAAAGGATGAAAAGGGAGGGATTTCCTTTTGGTTTCATTCCTGAGACATTTTCCCCAACACTATTTAGTGCTACTGTTGTGTGTGGTGCAAGAAGTTACACACCAGTTGTAAAAGTGCATTGGTTTGGTTTTGTGTGCCTTGAGTCACTCTTGGCAGTGATGTAATTACAGCAGAATTACCCAGTTGTCCTTAGAAGGTCAAACTTTATTCCAAGTTCTGCTCTGTAAGTGGAGAGGAGCTCGGGATTTTATTACAACATGCAAAAATCTCTCTGTCTTAGTGCTGATCCTTTTCCAGCTCGAGCAATAAACGTTAAACTTGGAGCCTGGACAGAGCCTTGTGCTGTGCCTGTGCAGAACAGGCAAGAAGAAAGTTGGGATTAATTTTATCTTTTCTTTTGTGTTGGATAAAGTCACCAGTGCAGATCCCTCCCAGCTGGACCTGCCCCAGCGTGGGCTCAGCTGGGAGTGATCAGAATGACCCTCAGGTGCAGCTGTGGCCTAGGGGTGGAGTTAAGAGAGCCCTGACCCACCCCAAGCTTTGGCTTTCACACCAGCTGCATTCATCAGGTCTGGGATTGCAGGGGGTTGTTGCTGCCCTCCTGCTCCCAGTCCGACCTGGGAGCCAAACCACGACCCGGAGAGTGCCCGAGCCTGGGGTTTGTGGAGCAGAGGTGTGGCAGAGGGTGGAGATGTGCTCCAGAACTCCTCTCCAAGTGGTTGTGAACCTCGCTGGTGTGTGCAACTGGTTCCAACACAGCTATGTGGCCACGTCTGTGGGAGAGCCTGGAAATCTGGAAGGGAGGGAGTGAGCACTTCAGCAGGGAGGAGAGGGAGGGAGCCCTGACGTGGTGTGAACCAGGGAATTCTTTCTTGGAAGCTGCAGGACAGAGGCAGCTGTGGGCTGAGCCGGGGCAGGCTGTGTGGTGGTGAAGTGGCTGGAAATGTTGTGTACTGTGGGTTTGTTAGGGCTGGTGGCAATGAGGAGCCCGCGTGGGCATCGAGCCGGAGGGTTTGGGGCAATGAAGAGAAAACCCAATGGAGCTGAGCGTTCTCCGGGTCCGGGGAGCGTTTGGTGGCTGCGTTTGCTGTGCTGGGAGGGAGACGCCTCTCGTCGGGACCTGGTGGAACTCGAGGCTTTAGTGAAGAGGTTCTGGGCAGCAGTTTGGGGGCGATTTGCTGCTTACGGGGCCTTTCGGTGCCGGCGGGAGGGCCCCCCCGACGGTTCCCCCGACGGTTCCCCCGCGCTCCCCGCTAGGTGGGAGCCGCGCTCCGCGGGTGGGAGCGGCGCGGGAGGCGTGTGGGGATGGCACATCAGCCCTCCCTTCTCCCTCCGACGTGGCAGAGCCCGAGCTTCCCCCGAAAACGCTCGAAAAGGCATCTCGGCTTCCCCTGGGAGCAAGCGCGGTGGGAGTCAGTGGGATGCGCTGAGGGAACTGAGTGATGGAGAGCCCCAGAATGGGGTGATACCTGCCCTAGGGGAGACAAACGCTGCTCCCGAGGTTTGCAGGACACAGCTCTGATCCTCTCACTTGCCCTGCACTCAGGTGATGGCCCTACACCTGGGCAAACCCCTCCGGTGCCAGCGAAACACTCATTCGTGGCTCGGAGCGAGGGGGGCGCTGCCTCTCGGTCCTTCATCCCCTTCTGGAGAAGCTGTGTGGCCTTTCCTGGGCTAAATTCCTAAGCTCCGGCCTCCCCCAAGGCGAGTGTTTGGTGTGGCAGTTCCTCTCGCTGATTGTCAGGCTATTTTAAGTGACAATAAATGCCGAAGTATCAGTTACCTGGTGCCTTACTCCTTGAGGATCAAAGAGATGAGACAATTGCAGGCAGTAACACCTTCCACAGCTCTGAGAGCCAGGCTGAAGGTTTTCCAAGGTCAATCCCTAAAAAGGTGGACTTCACCTGAAAGTTTGAGGATGAACTGCTGCTCTCTAGCAGATGCTCTGATAGGATCTGGAGTGCAGGTACATTGCTGCAATGAATGATTGGAGGAATCTCCTAGAGATGCTGCAGCTTTCCCAGTGTCAGTGCAGGATGTGTCCTGCAAACACCTCCACTTCCACAGACCAGGGCTGTAGAGCTGGGCCCTGAGCTTGGGCACTGTTTTAACTCACAGGCAGCAATACTCAGCCCCTTCACATGTCCCTGGACAACAGATTATCCACTGGTCCATGTTGAGGGCAGGGGAACTAAGGATTTAATAGGATCAGGTCTAATGTCTGGAGCAGCCAAAATAATTCATCAGCTTTGCTGAAAAACCAGGTGATCTGACCTTGCCAATGCCAAGCTTCATTGGGGCAGGTAATAAAGGATTTAATGTTTTAAGAATGTGGCTCCAAGTAAGTTATAAAAATGTTGGCATTGTTGCACTGGAGTATTCTCTATGATTTGTGACTCCTCTGTGATTTGCCTCAGCCCATCTCTTCCTGCACACACATTTGGTCTTGAAGTCTGCCCTGTTTTGAGCACAGGAATATTCCAGAGGTCTGTATCTGTCAGGGAAATGGAGATGGAGTTGGAGAAGGATGCTGGCTGTGGTGTGCTGAGTTTCCACAGTGGAGAGGGGATGGCACACAGAGAGCTCCTGCATTGCAAGACCTGGTCAGCACTGGTCCTGCCACCTGCCTGGCTTTGGCTCTAAATTAACCCTTTTCAATGCATTAGGGTTTGGTACTCTCTGTAGTGTATTGCTTCTGCAGCACCACCAATGCCTGTGCCATGGGAATTCCTGGCCCCAGAATTCTGGGATGTGTAAGATGCAGGACAACTCCTTTGGGCAGGGCAGGAGGAAGGGGCAGAGGGAGGATCACTATGAGAGCAGCATGGTGAGTTTGGTGGTGGCTCAGGGTGAAGAAGGTGCTGCTGTTTTAGCAGTAAATGTTAAGTACTGATAGAACCTGACTCCTCCTCGGTCGGTTCTGACCCAGTGATGCCAGACTGGCCCACCAGCCCACATGTGGCCAGGTCAGCTGGCAGGGCAGAGCCCCCAAGGGACCCCAGCTGTGGGATGAGTGAGTTGTTGGTGCTGCATGATGTTTAATGAACATTTTCATAGTCAAGGAAGGGCAGGCTGTGTTGTGTTCCATGGCTCTGTCTGGCTGTGAGGGAACCACCCCAGAGCACCAGGGCTTTGTGGCAGAGAGGAATGGCACTTGGGAGAGATCCCTGTGGCCCCATCCCTGTGCCTGCAGCAGGGCTGTCCCTGCCTACTGCCCCGAGACAGAGACTTGGAGTTCCCTCTGGACACAGCAGTGATTTGGACTGTCCCCCACTGCTCTGAGACCTGGAGCATGATTGATGCTGGAGGTCCCCCCAGGAGCCTGGTGGCTCAGCTGCCCTTGGCTCTGTCTGTCCCTGTGCTGCTGCTGCCTCTGTGCATATTGCAAGCTCATTCTGATGTGCGCTAATGCTATTATCCTCCAGAAATTGAAATCAAGTCTGAACCTATAATGTTTCACTGGGAGGGAATTGGGGTTATATATTCCTGTGTACAGCAGCATTCTATTTCAGTCATAGCATTTAATTATGATTGGTGTGTTAGTGCCCACCAGAGCATAACAAATTGTCATTATGTTATTCTGCTGAGTCTAATTTAATTGGCAAGTTGTCACAAAAGCAATTATCCATCATTTATTTTGTTGCCATAACCACATCTTGGAGAGCACCTGCTGTCTGAAGTGGAAAGGCTCTGCAGTCTCTTGGTCCTGGATTTCTTCCACTTGCCTGACACAAAGACACCATTTCCTCCTCTTATTTAAAAAGATGTTCCTCATTTCCCAGTGTGAGCTGATGTGTGGGGCTGGCAATGCAGGAGGAAATGTTCTGTGCAGGTAGCCACCCATTGGGACATCCCAGGGCTGGTGTGAGTCACAGGGACTTGTCCCCTCTGGAGACCTCAGAGCCAGCCTGGCGTGGTGGTCAGGGGTCTGAGCCATGGATTCTGTCTGTCATCTCACTTCTGGACAGTCAGGATGAAATAAGGAGAGAAAGGGAAGTTTGAGATGAGA